CTGTCGTATTCGAAATCACTGTCACATTTTGAAAATTCTAGAAAACATTTTATATAAAAGAATTTGTACTTACATTGTTTGAATTTTTACTAATTTCTCTTTTTTTGTTTCGATACTTTGAAGTTCCGCTGTCGTGAGACTGCTTCTTCAGAAAATTTATTTGAAAAAAGCATTTGAAAGCAACTGTAGGAGAAAAGGCAAGATTCAGACCGGTTTTCAAACAATCTCCGGATTCAGGTCAGAATGGACTAACCTTGATTTCTTACCAAGAATCAGTGACCATAAAAGTTGAAAAATTTTCAAGATCAGATCTTTCTAATCTGAATCTTATAATTGCTTGAGGGTCAGAATCTGATAAGATTGACCTGAAAATCAGAATCTGTCAGAAATGATCTCAAGGTTGTCGACTTGTGTCCGGAACAATTTCGACTGCATCAACATTTGTTTTAACAGAATTAGATAAGGAAGAAAATTCAGTTTTAATTAAACGTTCGTATATCGATGATGTAATAAGTCTTGTCAAGTGTTTTTTATTGAATCAATGTGATGAAAGGGCTAGACATACATTAGCTGCTTTTGTTAATGAACACGATATAAATGATGAAATGATTATTTGACTAAATAATATTCAAGAATGCCTAATATATTTAAAAAATTAGAAGATTTTCGTGAAGATGTTATACTAGACGATTTATACAAATTTTTAGATGGCGTTAAAGAATATTTATTCGAAAATGTATTTAAATGATATATTATTAAACGTTCATATTCAGTGGTTATTGGTATTGTATCAAAATTTACGTTAACAACAAAAGAGAAGCTTTGTATTCATATGTATGTTTTTTTGTCGTCAGATGCCTTGTTTTTCTCTAGCCGTTTTCTTTCTTTTCCTTTGCTGATATATGATTTATATGGCTGGTTGTATCATGTTTCGGATCCATGACTGGGATTGCACATTCCATTTCATATTTCTAATAATAGTTCTCTTTTTTAATTTACTGACAGGCTTCTTTAGTTGGGATAGTTTCATATAAAGAGTAACTTTTCTCATCTTTTATTTTATAGATGGAATTAACATAGTTTTATTCATAGCTCTCGTTGTTGAACTTGGGTAATGAATTAATAGAAAATTCAACTAAAAATCTTACAATAATACCAATTAATGATAATTCATGTTGGCTGTGATATAATGGTATTAATGAACGTGAAATAACAAGATAATCAATGCCAATATTTATTTCAAAACAAACTTGTACAACTGAGTATAATCCATCATTGCAAGTAAATTTTAAAAGAAAACAATTTAATTTAAGAGCTATTGCACGGATGAGGTACCCGTTTTCTCTTCCATTCTTTATAGCATATTCAACTTCAAGTCCTCACTCTGTTATATGAGTTAGCTCCGCCGGATTTTGCTAGGAACAACCAGGGAATCTGAAGTTGAATATGCCATAAATCTGTACCTAACATGAGTACTGGTCGTTAATAGATGAGCGCCGCAATTTGAGGTGTCGGGTGAAAAAATCGATCTGCAAAACTGGTCATTTTTCATGTTCTACCTACTTTTAGCCTCATCCATACCTTAGCCAAAGCAGTTGTACGAATCGAATTCATAATTTATAGTAGATGTCTAAACGAACAGGTCTAGCAAAGCACTTACAGTTTTGCTTTATATTGATACCGGTCTGCTAGTCACTCGGCAGTTGTTACTTTCAATGAATCACTTTTCTCTTCAAGCAATTTTTTTGTGTTTTATCCATTAAATCACGTGACCAATCATCCAGCTTTAACACTTGAATAACTGAAATTTCATTTCATAGCTTTAGTTGCGGTAACTACAAATTATTATTTTATTCATTATTATTATTTCCTTCATTTTGCTTCTTGCTCCAACTCATGACGAGCCCTTTTTAAAATACCGACCGTTCAACAAAATACCGTCGGTATACCGCGCGGTTAACCGACGACAACTTTCTAGACCGTGGTCTAAGAAAATAGCGCGCGGTAACCGTTTTTATCCATTCACCATTGCATTTTGCACCTATGAAGATATAAAAGAAACACAGAAACTTGATTTCTTCTTCAGATCAAACTTTTCTTTCAGATCATATAGACTCGTCGAAGTTTGAACTTCGACAGGCGTCAAAAATTCTCTCAATCAGGAGCCTGTCTGCACTTACAAGTCTTCTACAATACAAAAAAAGAAAGTTGAAAATTAGTTTCGATCTCCAGTTCTACGTGTTCGTAACAACAAAATACCAGACGATACCGCTGGTTATACCGAAGATATACCGGTCGGTATTTTCGTTTACTATGGCGGTATACCTCCCGGTAACCGTGCGATAACGGTCGGTATTAAGCACATGGGAAGTTTTTCAAAGAAGAATAACTCAGTCGTTCCTTCATTTTGCTTCGCAAAGTAAACATTTCTTGATACAACTAACGTAATCAATTATCTATATAAGGGAAGTCATCATTGAAAATAATCATTACAGACAGTACAGACTAAAAGCAATAAATAATGGCAAACAAGAATAATGATGATATTCAGCATAACAAGAATACTCAAGATAATGAGGACGATCAGCAAGAACATTCTTAAAATGCTGAAGATACCAGTTCACAAGGTGATCGTAATGTTTCAAAAGCTAATAAACCTCTGGTCATTGAGCTATCTGAGACGTCCAATGATGATAGCGCTGCCTCTGATAAATCTCCGGTCAAGTCAGATGATGCGGAATGTAAGCTTAGCAATACAAATAGTGAACGTAAATTACGATGAAATAAATCATCAAGCAAAAAAGCAACTAAAAGATCATCTGCACCAACAAGAAAAAGTAAAAAGAAGCAAAGAAACAAAAAAAAGCTTCTAAATAATCATCCTCATCTGACAGTGTAACGAGCACTAGCTCATCAACATCAACGAAATTGTCATTAGAAATTGCAGCATACTTTCAAAAACATTTTACCGAGGTGCAAAGGATGTCTGGTTTGAAATCATCTATCTTGGACGATTCAAAACAAGTCAAAATCAAAGCACTGAAACCACCACAATTAACTTTCGAATTAAAGGACATGTTTCCTAAATTTCAACTGCGATCAAAAATGACGATGAATTGAAATCAGTATAGCAAAGAACTCTTAGTGTTATTAGACCGCTAAGCAATTTCTGGTGAAAAGACTTAAGTCAAAGTCTAGACTTAAGTTAGACTCAAGTGTATAAAATTAGCACATACGTGCACATAACGAAGACTTCAATCCAAATTTTGACTTAAAGTCAGATTTAAGTTTTTTTATGATGTGGCCCCCTGTAACAGTTATATACGCGACTATGCTTTGCTATTGTTGCAAACCGCACAGTTGTAGTGCAAGTATCCGAAATGTGTTTTTCTTGATCAAATTATTGTTGATTAAACTCGACTAAAATAATCGTTCTTGAATGCACACTGTGTCGCGCTATCCTAGCCTATTTTTCTTTCCAGTCTATGTATCGATCATGTTTTAATTCTGTGTTGTTAACATGTGCTTATTTTGCACTTTTTAGTCAAACATCATAGCATACGATTAATACGCAGGAACGGGCAATAATAACATAAATCATGGGAAATGTTGTACAGTAATAAAATATGTAGAAGAACTTGCAATAAATAACAGGTAAAAAAAATGTTTAGCATTTTTATCATTCAGAATTTTTTAATTATGTTTTTAATGACACACAAGCAAAAAGTTTCAATTAAAAAAAACACGCGTTTAGCCACTATAAATGGAATAGTGTCGTCTAACTGTTCTAAGTTGTCAGAAATATTTTAATGAAGCAAAATAAAAACAAACAAATGTGTACAAATTATGTACAAATATCTTTCTTTCTTTTCTCTTTCTTTTCTACTGCTGCTGCTCCTCAGTACTACGACCACTATCATCACGTTTTATTGAACGTTGCTCTTCATACACGTTTTGTAATGGTTTATTACTGCCACAAAATGTTAACGATGAATAGGATAACGTTATTGGTATGGGTGATCTTATTGTTGGTGCTCCAGAACTTGTTGATGAAGACGAAGATGAAGTCGAGAATGAATGATACTTTTTTAGTTTTGATGATGAATTTTTAACAGTAATTGATGGGCATTTAATGTCAGATGATTGTAATGCATGAGTATAGATAATATTTGATGGATAATGATAGCGTTTCTTTGCCAAATCATACTGATCAATATTCCGAAAACAGTATACGGTTTCGCCCCGTGGCCTATCTGGTGATAATAAATGATCGTTCGTAGTTGAAGTTTGTTGACTTTTGTTTTCATGTTTAATATTAGCTGCTTTTTGTTTAAAACTACTATCATTACTATTATTCCAGCTATAATATATTGTCTCTCCACCGTTGTATGGTATCGACGTTGTTGAATGAGTGCGTTTTGGCTGCTTTTGTGATAACAAATTCGATCCATTATGATCGCGACCACGCATAGTTAAATTTGTCGAACGAAATCGCTGTTGTTTAATTTGTTTTAAACTCGATGTATCAATCATACACAAACCACAACAGTTCAATTGAAATGTTCTTAATTGATGATGTTGAACTGGTTTTTCATGTTGCTGCGATATTATACCATCAGTATCAATTAAACGATTTAAATTAGTTGGCATAGTAATAGCGGAATGATTCGATCTTTCAGTATCTTCATCATCATCAATATAAAACGATTGAGAATTTTTCGTTTGATTCGGCTTAGAAAAATGAAATCTCCACAAAAAATTTTCCCATAATAGTTTACGAATTTCTCTACGAGATGTACGACCACTAAATGTGAAAAAATATAACTCAAACAAATGAGAGACTTTCTCAAATCACGCTTACCTCAGTATTGAAAATATCATATTTAAACTATAATTAGACATTTCCAACACTCTAAATACGGTATTTAAATTTACATAGATGTGTAGTGGAAATAATGATGTTTTCGTTAATGTCAAATAGAAAATATTGACCATTGTTAAAACATAACGTGGTGATATTGTAATTATAATAAAAAATGATGATAATACTAGTTGTATAGTTTTTTCTTTAAATTGTTTTTCACGTTTTAGCACATGTCGAGCATCAATTGATCCAGATAAAACAAAACGATGTTTCGATAAACTATATAATATTAGCCAATTAATGATAAGTAATGATATTGATGGGATGATAGAATGAAAAAATATTGTATTAAATGTAAAATAATGTTTTTTCCATACATCATTTGTTTTATTTTGTTGAGAAGTACTTGCTGTTTGCCATACACACATGTATGTATGTAATGAAAAATTTTCATATGTTTCAAGAAAAAAATTTGGTAATAAATAAATTAAATCGGCAAAAAATACGAGTAAAAGGACAAGTACAAGAACTATTTTTGATATTGTCATAGTAAAGACAAGACGACCTTAAATAGAAAAAAATAATTTTACCATAAATAAGAATTTCATAAATGTAGCAAAAATATACCTTTGATTGGAAACCAAATAATAATGCATTTTTCAACAGCTAATGCAACTGTCAAAAAAATACCTGCCTAAAACATTGAGATATTGTGAGATATACATAACTGAGTAATTGCGTATATTGAAGCTAAAAAATCTGTCTATGCCAGGAAATGATCTATCAGAGAATAAAACTCCTCACATTTATTCTTAAACCTAGTTTTCTCAAAATGTTTACGTCTTTCTTACTAGACCGTTAAACTATTTAAAATTGATATAAAGTAAAAAATTTATTGACTTTGAATATAAAACCTTCATTTTCTTCGAATATTAGGTGAGAAACTTTACGAAAATCAATGATCTACTTACTTGTCCTGTGAACATGATGAAAAAGAATATGAATCGGCATAATGCTAGGGTTAATTTAATAATTTGTTTATCGAATAATAGAAAAACTAAAAATTCTAGCAGACGAAGTGTATCAAGTATAGATATAATTGAAAAATAGAGACGAAATGTAGTATGACGAAAACTTCTTGATACATAAAAATATAATAAACTCAAACAATTAAATGTTAAACCAAATATAAACAATAGACTTCCCACACCAATTTGTATATAGGTATTAAATGCATCAATTGATGCTTGTTCACTATCACTAATACCTGAATGTTGTGATTGGTGTTTTGAATTTGATGATAATGAATATGTGGAATTAAACGGAATGACAGTTGTTGTTATCGCGAATATATCGCTTAAAATAGTCGTGGTTTTTATGACGGATTCGTTCATAGATTAATATGAGCAAAAGAGTCTACATTTTTGTTGAATAACCTTCTAAAATGAATAAATGAAAGAAAAATATGTATCGCAACTCATCATACATACCGTAGATACTTTCAACGATGTATAAACATCTATATATACTCATAGAATTGAGTACGAGTGGGTCTTAAGAATGTATCTATATCAGATTGAAAAATGAGCCTTTTTTTCTGATGAAAATTACCGGAAAAAAAAAGTCATTGTCAAAAAGTTTCCAATTAAAAGTCCAGAAAGAGGAAATGGAGCTTGGACGTATTGAATGTATCTTTTCTCTTACACTAATTATATAGCTGTTCTAGAATGAATACTGATTGCCTAACTAAAATGTCATGGAAAAGAACTTGTTTATACCGATTTAATGATGTTATATTACGAAAGAAAATAATAGACAGATTCATTGGGATTTATAATGGCAAATAATTAAAAAAAAACCTTGGCTACAAAAAAATAATCAGCACTATTTATGGTTTTCTTTGGTAACAGAGAGAAAGGGAGATAAGGAAATCTAGTTGACACGTAACTCCCTTGAGACTCATTTTCAAAAATAAGTTGTAATAACAAACAAAATGCATCACACCCATATGTGTTACAAAAAATCAGTTTTTCATATATTAGAGAATATTATTTTATGTTCAAACAATACATATTTCTTATTCAAACAAGCTATATCGTGATTTATTGTTATATTTAAATTTTGACAAGTTTTTATTCGGCAGGTAATACGCACGTTTCTCTTTATTCGTTACCACCATTATGACAAGACAACAGAATGAGAGGGAAAAAGAAATGATGATGTGTCATTAGCACATCACCGGATTTTTTTTCTCGCCTCAATCGTTGAGAAACACTTGTGGTATCTATTTATTAAGAATAAAACAAAAAAAAATGATTGTTTAATTATTATTGTTGTGTATATAATTAACGAGAGTCTCGAGGCGCTACAATAATAATATACATGCATCTCTCTATTGGGAAATGTAGCGAACTTTGTTGTTTTTCAAAAACAAGTTTTTACACTACGATGAATATTAACCCAAATTATATCGTTCGATGTAGAGGAATCAACTAAATTACTCAACCATTTCATGGTGATTACGGTATATGCATGCCTCATTTCATTTTCTTTTACTTTTGATGTGTTAGAAACTGAATGTGATATTGATTTATGGTCGATAGTGTTTGACTTCTTCCACAAAACGAATTGTTAACTACGTCTACGTGCTAATAGGATCCGATTACTAGATGCTCTGTCATCAGCTCACCGCTACTAGAATAATATGTTTCACTACCCTTCAAGGAATCGATGAGAGATACTTATCAACAATTTAAAGATAATAATTGAGTAATGTATGATTTAAATAGCACGTTAAATAGTGTCTGCTACATCGCTCTATTAATTCAGTTCTAAACAATCAACAATCATCTGTTACATTTCCTGTCCTTATTATGGTCATTCCTCAAAAACTATACACAATAATTTACCTTATTTTGGAAAAGTGTCAACTATAAATACAGGTAACACATTTTATATGAATTAGATCTATTAGTAATATTATTCTAATAAATAATGTAAATAATCGTTGTCTAAAGAAAATCAAAATATTTTTGACTCTTATTACATGAGCAAGGTCGCTTTAAGAAAAGTTCTATATCTTTGCAGATATTTTCTATGAAATGATATATTATAATATCTTAGAAAAACAGCAGAGGATTCAGTCATCTCACTCAGTTCTTCATCAACATATGAATAAAACTGTTCTGTTGGTTCTATTTATTTGCTATAACAGTTAAAACTTCCGTTCTACTAAACCGATCACAAGTACTATAAATGATGATTAAAGTTGATTAGTGCGTAGATATGGAACATACAAAATATAAATTTGTTAACCTTATATTAAACATCATCTCTTCTTTTTTCTTTTGTGTTATGCGTTAAATCAAGAAATCATACAAACTACTTTTTATTGCACACATCTATTTCACTTTTGAAGAAGAACAAAAAATGTTTGCTCTAATTTCCGCGCATACATTCAACCCGTTCATCCACTTCGTTTTAGTGATGTTCAAAAGCGACAAGTTAGATTAGGTACAAAACAAACTATTACGTAAAAAGACATTATAGTTATATATTAATTTTATCTCAAAACCTCATTATTACTTAAATTATCTTTCTCTTTACATAAAATTGCCCAGTGAAGGTTTGAATTCTTTATAAAAAATGGTTGAAATTGAATTCTGCTTATATTATCGTATAAAGTTTTCTTGGTCATTTTCATAGGCGATTATCTCACTAATACTTGATACAACGAACTTTTGTTTGTTTGTTTGTATAGAACTGTTATTATTTGAAAGCTTCAGAAAAAGGGACTGATAGTGTCAACTTAAAGGTGCTGACTACCTTACAATATTTAGATTCGCATATAGAAAATATGATAGATATCATTAAATCATTTTACGTATTGAAATAGCAACAGGAAATAGTAAATTATCATCTATCTCTACCAGTGTACAACTAAACACATACAAAAGAAACATTCAGAAGGACTATAAACCGAGTACAAAGTTTTCCTCACGCATTGACACAAAAATTTTTCTCAAATTTGTAAAAAATAATACTAAAGAAACACGGTCGAACACAGTCTATCGAAAAACGTTTCATTATTATTGCGAATAAGACTAACTATTCTATGATTTGGCCTGCGCTGGGGCAGCCTAGGAATATGTATTTTTACTTGGTAATGTCTGAGAACTTCATTAGCAACATTCTTCTGTAATAAGATATTTTCTAAAATTTCAGGTTCATACAACTGTATACTCCCCAGTCTGTTAGATAAACACTTTTTAAATTTATCCTCAAGCTTGAGTAGAAGGAAAACTTCATAAAAGTCCACAGTCGAACAGCGAAAAATACAAAAAATCATTCTTAGGCATTTCCTATAAAAACCATTAATACGTTCCCGCGATGTATTAGAAAATAAACAGTGAACTGTAGACAATACGTGGTGGTGGGGTCATATATATATATATGATGTAAAATTTCATTTTCAAGTAGAAAAAGAGAGAAAATTGTTGATGGATGTATTTCAAAATAGCGTAAGAGCGCCCAAACTTTACCAGCTGAGCATTAACTATAGTGCCGAACGCTAGCCGATCATCCGAAAAAAATCCAAGGTATTTAAAATTTTTCTTCCATGTTATTTGTGCTCCTTGCTACTGGATATGTAGTTCTGAACATTGACCTCCTTTGTGATAGACTACCGTTTCCGTTTTTAATGTATTGACTGATTGATGCCAAATATCAATTTCACCCGACAATTCCCTGTATTCGTTCTGTAGATAATGTTTCAACAGGATTCGAAGCACTTTTGAAATGGTTGTATACTTAATTTTATGCCAGATGGTAACTTGATGTTTCAATACCCTCAGAAATTTTTGAAAATATTGAAACCACTCAAATGCATCAGGGTAATACACAAGTTTAGCTTCCATGAATTCTGTGTGAACGACCGTCAAGACGGACTGCTAGATATTCCAGTACGTCTTTGGAACAAATAACCAATCTTTCTCAACGTCGATCCCTAAAAATTCTGTGAAAACAGGAAATGATCGCTGTCTTTGTACATGAGGGAACGACACTGGACGGCAGACGTAGCTCTCGATGAAAAAACTAAATCAATCGTCGTATTCGACCTCCACGACGTTTTCATACCAGAATTGTGGATCTTCAGATCATTTGCATCAGACCACTTCGACAAAGCATTACCTTTCGTATTAACCTGAGGATCTAATCAGCCTGTTTCTAAATCTCCAACAAAAATTAAATCCTTCAGGTGACATATTAACGAAGACATGGGTGCAATCGGGAGAGGTTCGTTTGGAGGAGAATAAATAGAAGTTACTAAAATGTTCTATTTTTTATACTGACTAAAACTGCCACTACATCGGGTGCGTCAATGTCCAGAGAAACTGATTTTAATTTTTTATCTACTGCGAGAACTGCCCCCATGTGAGTAAGTGCCCTCTTTTACGAAAACATTGTACGAAAAACGAAGCCTTTCATTACTTTTGTGAGTACGCCTGTGTCCAGTTCGTTGAGAGAGATGATTAACTATTTCAACCAAGTTACACTGATTAGAATAAAAATACTGAGTATTGTAATGAAGTACCGAAAAGTTTTTTGAAGATATCTGAGGCTGCTTATATTGTTCTAACCAATTCTTGACAAGTATCTCTCTTGAACATATTCACGACCAATCCTTCAAAATCGAGGATCCAAGTTCTATCTGAAATTTTGACATACCATTCATAACTGTAATTAAGTTATTCGTCACATCGTTAAATTTGTATTTATTGAACTGTATGCTGCGCTAGTGGTGGCCATTTGTAGTAGAAATCACTGATGTTGTTGATGCTAACCTTGATGTTCGTTGACGTTGTCGCCGATCGAGTACTCCACCAATATTATTAATAAACCTTGTTAGATCATTTTTCGTGGGGACGTGACGCGTGTTCGCATAACCAGTATTACTCATCAATTGCATATATGGTGGTACGGTATTTTCCAATTCGATCATCCTTGTTGCACTTTCGTCGATCTTCTTTTCCAATTCACATATTAGTGTCGTCATATGGAATTCAAAATCGTGCAGTGTTTGTTCCATTTTAGCGGTGAACGATGATAAAATGAATTCAATATGATGATTATCCGCAGTTGTCGATTGTTGCGGCAACATTACAGCTGCTGCGTAACTGCCTCTGTCAGGAGGTAGTGGCGCGATCGATACTGATGACGAGGAGGCAGAAGCGCCTTCATTGTAATTGAATTCTGTGTGTTAATGGTGCTTTTGAGATCTTTGCATTAATAATTCAGCACGATGAACGTTTGACGTTCTACCAACTGTTTTGCGCTTTTTTTGTACGACAGGACATGAGGAGTGGTCTACAGAATGCTCCCGTTTTAGTAATTCACACATTTTGCTGGATTTGTGCAGCCGAAACTAATAAACTAATGCTGCTGCCCACAAAAGATGCATACTTGTGGCTTATTGCACTGTATTGTTCGATGTTCATGGCTAGAATATTTCATACATTTATTGACACGGGCTGATTGACAATATGGGCGAACATCGTATTTCATTTGACTGATATAAATTTTTGAATCATTCAACAGATCGTCAACTTGTTTCAATGATGAAAAATCGGCTCGAACAGAATTCAATGGTGAATCGGCCATACATATCTGTGAGTTTTTTCAATGAAGCATATCGTTGTTGCAATTCGTTTGGAACTTCCTCGCGATCCCAATTTCGATGAAACGCTGAATGGCTAGTAAGTATGACGATGGAAAACTACGCGGTATCCAATTTCAAATTCGACATTATTCAATTTATCTGGTCACTTTGATTTGTCAATTAACTCGTCATTAACTCTTCCGACGACTGTGTTCGTTGTCTTTTCAACAGAGATCCAAATATCCGACTGTTGTTTCAAGTAATTCATGTTGAAAACTGTTGCTGACGTCTGTTATTACTACTAATTTGATTTGAAATTTCATCATTAGTTTCATTCAATTTATTTATGTCATTATCAAAAGACGATGGCTCATCCCTGTCCGTACGTTAGAATGTATGGGAGGAAGAAACAAAAACTTGTGTATGTACGTGTATAGTAAAAAGCACGTCAGAAGGTGTTGACTACATCTCTGCACGATGATGAAAGGAATGACTGGTATGTGTGTGTGGGTGTGTGGGTGTGTGTTTACAATTAGAAAATGTGAACTTTGAAAGTAACATCGTTTATGTCAAGTAAAAGTGACCCAATTTTTAGGGTCATTTACAAATAGGTCGTATATAAATCTGGATGCAGCTGCTGCTGAAGCAGTTATAAAAAAAATGATTGATGGTTTACAAATGATATAAAGAAAAGAGAAAAAAGGTCTTACCCTTCGACTTTTCTCTAGTAATTTTATCTAACTATCAAAAGTTCTTCATCCTACGTCTTTGGTTTGAAAGTGAAATAAGTTTAACATTCAAGTTGGCACGTGTAGAAAACGACCGGTCTAAGAAAGATTATGAACTTTACTCGCAGAGAGTTAATAAATAACTCGTCATTTTGTATGCATAGAATTCAATGTAATTGGTTGAATATTATTAAAATAGATATGACACCAATAAAAATATCCAAGATGTAAATTATCTTTATACTTGTTTATCTATTTTTAAGCGAAAATTAACCGCAATTTCACATAACCTTTTTTTAAACTAAGTGGACTATATGTAATTGACGCTGATTCCAAACATGAACGTCGGAGTTGCTCTTAGACTTTTGTTGACCGTTTTCCGAAAACTGGACCAGGAACCATATCCACTCTGGATCAGTCATTTTTTAGAGGACAAAAAACTGTCCATGTTCCATAAATTTTAGTTTTTCAAAATACCATTGAACGGTGCTATAATTTTTGCAGAGTATCCTAATGCAACATTTTTCCGCTAAAACGAACGTAGTCACTCTTTTGGAAATTTTCCTACGTTGTGATTTTTGTTCTGAAAAACCAAAACTTATGGAACATGGACAGTTTTGTGTCCTCTACAAAATGACAGATTCAGAAAAAAATTCTGGATTTGGTTCTCTGAAGATCCAATTTTCAGAAAACTGATCAACAAAAGCCTAAGAGCAACTCCGACATTCATATTTCAAATCAGCGTTGTCAATTACATATAGTTCACTTAGTTTCATCGAAAAAATGATTTGCAACTTGGGACCTTTCCCTCGTAAGACAAAACCGAGATAAACATCCACTCACACATACTTCATTTCAGTTTAGACACGTTCAATCAGGAATTTAATTGAAATTCATTCACACATTCTTTTCTAGGGGGATATAACGAGTACGAAAGCAAGGGTATAGAACTTATCTGGTAGTTTATGTCACAGTTCGAATAACTTTTAGAAACATATTTTAACAATGATTGTCTCGTACACAAACTTCTCACAGCTTAAATGGAATAACGGAAGAGAAGTTAAAATGAAAATGATCCTAATACCTGTTAAGTACAGGTGTTTATGTTGTCAGCTTTGTTTTAATTTTTGCTTTATGTCTTGTCGATTAAACTTCTCTTTCTGATATTAAGCATCCACTAACATGGATTTCCTGGCACTCCTTAAGTTAACGTTATGGTGTGATACATCCTTACTAGTATTTCTCCTTTCTCTTCATACAAAGGTATGACGTTTATGAAAAGATCACCTTCCACCTGTGAATACCAAATACCACTCACGAAAGTTTTCACAATCTTCAAACTGTTTTCTATTCAATTGAATTTCAGATTAACTGAAACTGAACTAATCTAGAATTGAGCATGTAAATGTGTAGGAAAAACTTGGACTGTGATTTTATACACCTTCCATATACTTGAATTCTATTTCGTGTTCAATTACAGGATAAATGACCTTAGTTTGAAGTGAAAATTGGTCTTTTAAAAACGAAATTGTTGATGCATGATGAATAGAATGAACAAGTGTCTTTCTTTTTTTTCTAAAAAGCAACTGTGTTACTAATAGCAATAAAAAATAAATTGTTTATTGAAAAAAAGTACACTATTATTATTATTTGTATATACGAGACTCAAATTGTGCACATCTAACTTTAGAACAAGTTTCATTGAGAAGAGGAAAATTCAAGCCAAGTTGAGGGGTTCTTTTCATTAAGAAATTCTCTCTCTCTCTCTCGTTGTGTATACGTTGAAATATATAGAAAGCATATTTAACATAAATTCGAATGTTTAAAAATCATAATATGTCAACTGGTGAAGAAAAAAGTATTAAAAGAATGACTGTATAGTTTTAGTAAAATTGTATCATTTTTTCCTATACCGGAAATCAGCGAAACATATCATATGTGAGACAGCTGTAGCTCTAGTTCCTATCATACCTTGATCAAGCACAAACGGACTATGTTCGTTTTAATCCCGTCTCTTTTAAAGTGATAATACATTGACGTTGTAAGCGGCTAATTTACACCCAGTTTTCTTCTTATTCGAAATATAGAACCTTAAACAATAAAAACCTGATAATTAGAAGACAGTAGAGGGGGCACACTTTATATCCGATCGGAATATATACAAAAAACATTTATTCCAATTGGGATATAAAACGCTATTTTTTTTATTAAACACACGAGCGCAAAAGTTTTGATATTATCGTAAAAAAGACTTCACTATCAGAAAGAGCGTCAAAAACTGCATCAGATTCTGTTTTGCTGATGGTCAAGTATGTTCTCCCGCCAGCCACTTCTTTTCAAATTACATCTGCCGACTTCGAAGAGCTAGCTTTTATAGCTCGAAAAGCTATTCTTCTAGGAAACAACTTCTTCACTCCGTTTGTTCAGCCAGTTTTAATAGAGCAAACGCTGTAATACCCAGGAAAATAAGCTTTTGGTCCCTGGACTTGTGAAAGTTTCAAGCAAAACTAGTTGTTTGGCGCATTTTTGAACTTTCATTTTCCATTTTTAAAGCCTCATATCTTGCTCCAATAAGTCGAAATGAATTCGTCGAACAGTTTGACCCAGCAAAATTGTATTTCTCCCAGAAAAAATTGTGGCAAAAACTTAACTTTTGCGTTTTCCAGAGGATATTGAAAGTAAAACTTTGCTTCAACAAAGCATTTCGGTACAGGAATCCGAACATCAAAATTACATAAAATTCCTTGAACTCAGTTCCTCAAGTCAGAAGACGACTTTTTGACTTCGGTCAATTGAAACTGAAGAAAACAATATTCTTTAATTAAAAACCAAGTTTTTGAGGAATTTCAAAAAAATCCCTCGTTTTACGCCCTGAATTTGATTAATGGCAACTGCTCTGCTTAGATTTTCGTTCCAAAATACTTTATTGTTTGTTGAAGACAAAATTTGGTTTACAACACTTCGTCTTGAAGAGTGAAAGATTAAATATTTTACTGAAAATCTTTCTGCATAAACAGTCTCATATTCTATTTCGAACAGCTTAGCGATTTGCTCTTCAGACGGAAAAATAAATGGTTTTATTGAAAGTTCAAAATGGTAAAAAACTGACGAAGAGAAAAAAACCGATTACAAGAAAATAAAAGTAATGCCGAGGATTGAAACCTTTTTAAAAATAATGCCTCAGAATACCGTCTATAACCTGGTACAAAAAGATCAGACGAAGGCCTTCCCCTAGCTTCTGTCGATCACCAAAACTAATTGGCGGATCGAATAACAGCCTAAACTAAATTCACGACAAGCTTCACGTAAGTCAAGTCGACTATCACTGTCCCAATTTCGCTTCAAACATTTTTTAAACCAAAGAAAGTCATATCCCGATCGGTATATATTTCTGCACTGGAAGATAAGAGTAATCTTTTTTCAATTATTTTCTTCTGTTAACACCCGTGCACGCCTAATGTTTCTCCTTTATTTACTGCTCCACTTTAACTATATGGAGTCGTCAACAAATCCTTGACAATAATAAAACTTTATGTCATTATCTACACAAAAAGAAAAAGAATATTTATCACATAGGTATAATATCAGCGCTTAATAACAACCCTGGTCGGTCATAAATCAAGGCGAACATCTACTTCTATGAATGGAAATATTAGGACAGAACTATGACTTTCAGCTCTATCCACATTTGGATCTTTCTTCATGTTTAAAGTAAACTAATGTCATTATGAACTGAATAAGATTTTATTTCGATGATATGTCAGATCCTGTTGTTTTTCGTTTAATACGTAATATAGTTATAGTATCTTCGATCGTTATTCTGGATACAAGCAGATTAAATACAAAAAAGAGATTATTATCTATGTTATATTTTTCTTATCAAAATAAACATGTTATTTACCAGTGATATGTTGGATATGTTCAACTCACTATCTATGAACAATTTGTACTAATATTCAAACACAAACGAGCTATAATTCATCTAAGACAACTTTGTTATATAAATGGCATTCTCTTCTTCTTTACGTCTTTACTCTTACTTATTTGTCGTAAGAATAAAAATTCCTTACACAGGTTCTTTAACTTTAGTCGTGCGCAAAGAGACAACGAGAGATAAAAGGAAATATCTTAAATTTTTCGATCCCGGAATTTGTTTTAAGAAGAATATTCAAAAAATTTTTAATATACTTCAGTTCATCTTTATTTCCTTGTGGAAAAGCACGAAAAAGTAAAGGAAAATGATCAGATCGGAAAAAGAACATGATCTACAACGT